CATTCTCCACCAGTAGGTGCAGGCTTGGGAACTGGGCTGGCCACAGTAGCCCAGGGACACTGGGTCCGTCACCTTCTGGGCAGTGATCTCGGCCAGCAAAAGCTGTCTCTTCTTTGGTGAGTCTCCCCTCCACACTCAAGGGGTCGTGTAAGGAGAAGGAGGTCAAGGGATCCCAAGAGCGATCTCTCCTGCGTGTTTGGCACAATAATTCTCCCCCAAGGCGGCCTGCTCCCCACATCACCCCTTTTCCCCAGCAGTGACGTAACCCTGTCTCCCTAACACTTCAAGGTCATCCACAAGAAGAGACAAGGATACCAGAAAGGTGGAATCACTCACATTTTGCTCTGAGGAAAAATTTTTTTTCAAGGAAAAAAATATGTCTTACCCTTTCCCTCATAATTGCTAATAACGTGGGGCACACCTTTAGCGGAAGGAGAAGGGAAAATGGCGTCTGGTAGCTAAGGCAGTAGGCACCCAGGAGAGCCCTGGGGATCGGGCTCCTCTCTGGGTCCAGAGTGATCTCTGTCACTGGGGCCAAGCCACCCAGAGGCAGTGGGGGGGGAGGCAGCAGGCTGCTCCCTGGCTCTCCGCGGAAGGCTCTGGCAAGGTGGCAGGGGAAGCCCTCAAATTCGCCCACCTCATTCCTTCTCCCCCTTCTGTCTGCACCCGCCCACCAGTCACCCATGAGCACACCCACCCCCGGGCGTGCTTGGTGGACGTGGGAATCTCAGACTAGGCTTCCTGCTGGAGTCGGAGCAGCTTCTCACCCTCCACCTCCTTCTCATCTTCCTGGGAAACTCCACACGGCCCCCCTCAGCACCCCTCGCTCGCCCTCCTCCTCCCAGGTGCAGGCAGGTAAGCTGGCTGTCGCTGTCAGCACACCACCTCTCCCCTCACACATGCACTCCAGATGAGCACCCGCAGACAGGACAGAAAAGCGGGCAGCCTCTCGCTCCAACCATGCACAGCGCTGACAATCCCGTGTCGGCCAACTGTCGGGCACCCCAGTGCTGGGCAAAACACCACCCTCGCCGCCAAGACCCTTCACAGCCCCCAACCAAAAAGCAATGCCAAGGACACACCAGGAATTCCAAGACCGCTATCATCAGTAGAGCGAGAGGGGAGGAAGACAAAGACATCGCTTCTTCCTCCCGACGAACCACGACAACGCTTTGGTCTATTCTGTATTGCCCTCTGGCTTCACAGAGCCCACCGATGGGCTGGCTCTGTGCATTGGGGGTGGGGGGCAGAAAGCAGACACGTGTGTGTTGGTGGGGAGGGGGTGATCTGTGTCTCTACTGTCCAAGCTTCTCCCCAGAGGGAACCCAGTCCAGACCCCATCTTCCCAGGATAACCTTCCCCCAATGTGCTGCAAACATATTATTTCACGGATGGTTAAATTGGATCATTATCACCAGGTGCTTATTTGGCCCAAAAAAAAAGAAAAAGAAGAAAGGGAAATCATTCATGTCATCCACCCCCACTCCAATTTTCTTCTCATGAGGTCCCCTCCCCAAAACACTCCCCAACACGCTAATCCCATGAACTGCGACACGTCACATCTTTCAGGAAAGAATAATGGCGAGCAGCAAGAAGAGGGAGCGGCAAGGAGGCGACGTGTCTGGAATGGTACTGTCCCCGTATGGGGACGAGGGAGAGGCGCCATGGTGGAGGTAGGGGACAAGGAGCACAGTAAAGGGAAGGAAGCGAAAACAGATCTAGCCTTCGGTAGCCCGTGTATGTGAGCAAGAGAGAGTGTGTGTGCAAGTGCATGTGGGGATGTGTGGCGCTGCCCTCCTACCAGAAGGCTGCATCCATGTGGTATGTAGGAAAGGCCATCGCACTACTGTTGTGTTGCAAAAAAAAAAGAGCCGCAGAGCCATCAGAAACAGAATTTTCTCATCGAGATAGAAAGGGCTAGAGACAGGGGGAGGGGGTAACGGAGTAGAGGAGAGTGGTGTGTGGAAACACAAGGCAAGATCATGGCAGAATTGGAGGAGGATGGAGGGGGACATTGGTGGTGGGGTGGGGAAATTGGCACACGCACGGACAGAGACACAAACACACACAATACCCAAACACCAAGCCCCAGGCTCCACCGCTCATCCAAGACTGACAACCGTCCCCTATCTCGCCGCTGCGTCTCGGTACCCCCAAAGCTGGGGCCGACAGATTTCTATATCTCAGTTTTGCAGCGGTGGGCTAATTACAACCAAGCCCCCCTCACCAAATTAACCCCTCCCCTCCCTCTCTCTCCCTTTTCTCTCTCTCTCTCTCTAAAAGGCCAATTGAAGAATAATGTGTTTTTAGAGATAATGGATTTTTTTTTTCAAGGAGCGAGAGAACGGGGATGCAGGACAGAAATTCTGCAAAACGATGACTTCCAACCTCACCTCCGTCTCCCCTCACACCTCGATTCGCTGGAGCATCTCCCGTTCCACCCTCCGACCATTCCCTTGTCCCCCACCACCCCAAAGAAAAGACTTTCCTACCATGCCCATCGACAAACACACCAACCGCCACCCAATCTCAGTGGCCGATCTCAAAACCCCAAGCATCAATCCACTTCGATACATCCTTTTTCTTATATAAGCAGCACATCATCAACAGACTCGGTCAAAACGCAGCATTAAATGAAGAAATCAACAAAAAAGGCGGCCAGACCCTGGTCCAAGCCCCAATCATGAATTCGAGGGAGGAACCAAAGAAGCCCAGGCGCAGTCACCTCTCAGAATCGAAAATCCTTTTGATTTCTGACTAGCCCCTCTTTGTGAAAAGCAGTATTTAAAAACATTATTTTCCTACGACAGGACAGAAACCTCCAGAAAAAAAACAAAAAGACATTCGCGCAGTCGGGTTGATTTCAAAATTAACCCAGCCCTGTAGCTCACTTTAACAGCGAACTTCCAGTGTCCAGCCTTTTTCCCCGTCTTGCAGAAGGAAGACTGGCTCACAAGACGAACCCCAGGCTGCAGAAAATGGGCCAAGAATCCTTACCCCCTTCCCAAGCCCAAGCAAACCAAACAATAGGGCTAGCTCTCTGCTCGACCTGCACCCATCTGAAATAGCGTTCGTCCCAATGTGATGGAGGCAGATTACGCGCAAAGATTTGAGAAAATTAGTAACAATACCAGTCTTGCCTGGTCTCTTTCCCCTCCACCCACCTGCCACATACCCAGTAGCCCTTAGGTAAACTTGCCCATCGCAACCAGCGGGACCATTTTAACTTGCGCGGCGATGCAGAAGCCCTTGAGCGATGAAGGGAGGCTCTACCCAGAATGGCAAATTCATACAGGGCTAGTTCTTCACGCTCCCCAGAGCTCACCTCCAGGTGCCCCCAGCTAGACTATCCTCGGGACCCAAGTCACTCAACGGGCGGGGAGTTCAGATTTCCATTAGAACCTTCATCACAAAGGCAAACTGTCATCTGACCCTGGACACGACTGTCCTCCTCCAGGTGTGACAAGGGCTGCCCCTCTCCTTCTTGGACTGGCCACCGACCCAGGGAAGAGAAGGAATTTTAAATGTTGGGGTGGCTTGTGGTAATGGAAGCACAACTAGGTACTTAAAGCGGGACTAAGCAGAGCATGCAAGGAGAACACAGCCCTTTCCTGCTGGGTCCCTTGTTAGGTCTGGCCCACGTCTTACTCCAGCCTAGGCTCAAGCTGTGATGATCTCTGACCTTTGCATTTATTTTTTAAAAAACTCTTTTAAAAATTAAGATCAAGATGAATCCAACCTGACCTACCTAAACTCCAATCATGGTTCGCGGACAGCTCATTTTCTTATTACAGGATGATATTTCTGCATGCAAATCAGAAGGGGAAGGCCATTGCATGGAGAAAGAAAGGGGGTTATTAATTGTTTTAACAAGTGATCGCACAGCAGGTCACCTGCAAAGCAGCCAAGCCCAGGGGTTGGGATTACATCACTGGCCTAGGTAGGGTGGGGGTGCTGGGGTGAGTGGGGTGGGGGGGCAAGATTTTGTTTTTCCCCTTGTCATTGGGGTGATGTTTCCAAAGCAGTTAAGTTTTGTGGTTAAAAAAAAAGGGGAGGTGGGGAAAGAGCTGAAACTCTGGGTACATAAAAAGGCCTTAAAAAAGAAAAAAAAAAAGATACATTGTGCAAGCCTTTCAGGTCACTGAGAGATTGCAAAACCCACAGTGCTTACACAGAGTGGAAGTTCAGGCAAGCCTGCTACTAAATCATTAATATAAACAAATGGAAGGCTGAGGAGGAAGATTTCCCTGTAACCGATCCAAACAGGAGCTCACACACGCACGCACGCGCGCGCTCGCACACACACTCATACATACTCCCTTTTCACCTTCTGTGAGTATGCCCACCTTCACGAGACATAGGAGTCCAGCCTGCGTCTTCAGACCAAGAACCACCTCTTCGCAGCGCACTCAAAAATAAACAAATACATAAATAATCACACACACACACACACACACACCCCTTTTGGCTCAACAGCCGGCGAAAATCTCTGTCTCAGTGCATCCTCTTCTTGCAATTCTCGGAGCACCCTCGTCTCTCGCTCATTTGTTGTCTGGGGTTTGTTTTTATTTTTTGTCAACCAGCCCCCTCCCCAGCAAAGAAGCATGCTGGGAGCGGAGGGGAAAGTGGCTACCGAACGCCCCCAAAGTCTCTGCCCAACAGGAAGAGGGGGTCGCACCCCATTTCGGACTAGTCATCCGAGCAGAGCGCGGAAAGACTTAAGAAGAAGAAAAACACCACGCATCGAAAACCGTCTCCGACTTTTCCAACCTCTGGAGCCAAAGCAGGGAAGTTGGCGGAGAAAGTCGCGGGCGAACGGCCGCGGGGAAGGCGCTCCGCGGTCGGCCGCGGCGTCGTTCCGCGCAAGAAGGCAGGTTGGGGAAAACTTCGCCCGCGTCGGGAGCAGCCTCTTCCCGGCCGCCGGCGCGGACCGGCCCCGGAGTGGCTGCTGCTCCGCTGCCTGCCTGCGTGCCTCTCCCCTCCCCGCCCCGAAGTCTTACCTTGCGGGCTGCGGGGCGCGGGGGCGCGGGCTGGGCGCTGGACGTGCAATGGACAGAGTTTGCCGGCTCCGTTTCCTCGGGGGACAGCGGCTCACATTCCAGAATGCTGGATCTCTGCCCGCTCCCGGGAGGACGGACGAGGGCGGGGTGGGAAGCCGCCCCGGGCGGGGGCTGGAGGTGCGAGAAGCGGGTCCTGGGTGGCTGGCGAGGCCGGCGGGCGGCGAGAGGGGAGGACCCGCTGGCCGCTCCCTCTGGGCGAGTGGGCGCTGAGCGGAGCTGTGCAGGGCTGCGCTCGGAGCCCAGACTGCCGGAGGAGCCCCGGAATTTCACGCACTCCACGGCCAGCCCCTCCCTCTCCCACACAGACCCCAGCATTTAAAGAGACAGCCGGGCTGCCTGGCTCTGGGCTTGGCCTCCTCCCGGGCTGTTTTGCAAACAGCTGAGAAGATAGCATCAGGGAAGGGCGAGCTACAGTCTCCCCGAGGACCGAGGACCGAGAGGCCCTGTCTGGCGCCCGGTGATCCCCCAGCCCCGAACCTAGGAAAAGGCTCTTCTCCAGAACTAGGACCGAAATGAAGGTAAAGACAAAAATCCTCGTGTACAGCCTCCTTCTTGGCGGATGAAACCTCTGCTCCCTCCTCGCTGGGGAGGTCTGGCAGGTGTCTCCCTGGAGACTCAGATGGTAGACTGTCACCTGCAAGCCCACCTCAGTTTCCCTAAGTAATCGTGCCGCTTTGCCAAATCAGGGCATGGGGGCTGTAACTAGGACACACATCCAGTTCTTCAGAACCACTTGGAATGCTGGCTTAGGACAAGGCCCAGTGCAAGGGCGGGGCCAGAAAAAACAAAAAAACAAATGAAGGTGGTCAATGGGATTTGTCCTCTGAGGGCTCCGCCCAGGTACAGACCTGCCTCGGGACACTGTGAGAGAAGACCTGTCAGGCAACGGAGGGGATGAGGGTTTGGTGGGTCCTCAGCAGGGTCTGCTTTCTGGGCCTTGCATCCTGAGCTCAGAACTTAGGAAGAAATCTTTGAGCGCCATCACCAGTGCCAGAACCCACCAGGGCCTGCAAACATTGCCCTAATCAAACAGAAACAAGAGCTAGAGTTGGGAATACCAAACATGAAAGTTGGGTTCAGTATCAAACTCTGGTGCCTGGCAGTGGAGAAACAGTCCCAATGCACTGTCTTCTCCCACAAAGCCTTCCTCGTGAGCCCTCATGGCAGGAACAGCCACTAACCCATGTTGTTAGGCACCACTCATGTGACGCCATAGCCCCTCTGGGATGGAGGAGAACTGGGCCGGCCTCTGTATGGAAGCAGATCGCCGGTCCCTCTCCGCTGGACTTCAAGGTAAGTTCAAATCACCACTCTTTAGGTCAGCAGCCCAGCACTTAACGAATGGGCCACCAGGAGTCTGAACGAGTTGTTGAGCATTTGCGATAATCCAGTGTGGTGCTTGCCAGGCATCAACCAATCCAGGGAGGGTGGTGCTGTGTGATGGTTGAGACCCACTTGGCAGTTGAGGAGAAGTAGTGAGGTTACACGTCTTCTCCAAGATCCAAACCCATTGCTGTCAAGCTGATTCTGACCCACAACTACCCTGCAGGATAGAGTAGCAGTGCCCTAGCTGGTTTCCCAGCCTGTGTATCCTGACAGAAGCAGACGGCGACACCTTTCTCCTACAGAGTGGCTGGTGGGTTTGAACCATCAACCTTCCCGTTAGTAGTCAAGATTGGATCCATTGGGTCATCAAAGCACCTTTCCCCAGATTACCCACCCCTCCTGGAAAGAGTAGAGAGTGGAGTTAAACTTTGAGCTACGCTAGGCAGGGAAATAGCTTAAGTGTTCAACTATTAGCAGAAAGGCAGTTGATCATAGCCCACTCGGGAAGGAGAAGACACACCTGGCAACCTGCTTCCGGAAAGCCACAGCCTGGCAAACCCGGTTGTTACTGTGAGATGCTCAAGGTTGGTTCCGACTCTCGGCGACCCCATGCCCAGCAGAATGAAACCCTGCCAATCTTAGGCCGCCTCACACTGTTCTTATGTTTGGGCCCATTGCTGCAGCCAGTCCGTCCCTCTTGCGGAGGGGCTTCTCTCTACCGACCCTCGAGACTTTGCTGAACACGATGACCTTCTCCAGGGACTGGTTCCTCTGAGAGCACCTCCACAGGACGCGATATGACGGCTACTGTCCTCGGAAAAGCCTAGGGAGCAGTTCTGCTCTGCACATACAGGGTCCCGGGAGTTAGAATCAACTCGATGGCAGCTGGCTTGGTTTGGGGGTTTTGAATGACACGTGTCATCTCAGCCTCATCAAAGCACATTTGGACCTGTAGGTGACTTATCAAATCACAGTATCATTGTCACATGAGTCTTTGTACCCCTAGTCTTGAACGCTTTCTGCATATGGCAATAACATAAACATAAATTCCTTGATGGATTAGTTTTATGCATGATACCTGACCTCCAACCACCCCCCCCCACACACACACACACTACATACACACATGCCTCATTATATTCTACCTGGACTGCCCTGGACTCCAGGTTTACCTCCTCCTTATGTGGTCCTTGTTGAGCTTGTCCACCCTTGCTTGCTCTCCAAATGGGGAAGCAAAGTTCCAAGTGCATGCTTGGGGTAAGGAAGGTGCCCCAAGCTCCTGAGGAAGAGCAATGTAAGGAACCACTGGGACCTACAGCAGGTGGGAAACCCCAGGGCAGCCTAGATTCTCCTCTAGAGCAGCAGGAAGGGACCTAAGGGACCCGGGTGGTGTGAGGACAGAAGCCAAAGAGAGAGTCTGGGCATGTCTGTTCCCAAGGTGCTCCCAAGGCACCTCCTCCGGCAAAAGCCAGCCTCGGAAGGTGAGCCCAGCAACAGGCCCACTGCTCATCTGCCTGGACAGCAGGAGGGCTGGGGGTAGGAGGCACACCTGATCCAACCCAACTTGGACACGACGGTCATATGGTTTACATCATCTCTCAACCCTCTCCCGGTTTTCTCTTAATCACCATTGTAACATAGGACCGATACCTGTATTCACGTTGTGAGGTTATTGTTAGAATCAAAGGACAAATTGTCTGCAGAGCATCCACCCACTCGGCCCCCAACCACAGCACAAGTGCTGAGAAACACGGGCCATCCCAGCCCAAAGGCCTGCGTTTGCCCCCTGTGTGGAATTATTAAATTTGGACTGCCCTCTATAGTTAGTATTCTCTTATTTCAGGTTCTTCATTCCACATGTGGTATTTGAGCTTCCTAGGGCATCTTTCCATTGTTGTCATTGACTTAACGTGAACCTTTTGCCTTCTAACTCACTGTACCTGATGTATTGTGACTCTACCGGTTATTATCATTCTACTCTGTTTAGTAGTTTCATAGGCTTCTGGAGTGTTACTTGTCCTTTGCCTGCTTTGCCTTTTCTCATGCAATCCCTGGATGTATTTTATCCGGTGCCTCCAAATAATTTCAGCTAGCTACCACTCTGCTCGGGCTCAGTGATCCAGCACTCCCCCAGGCAGCTCTGGATTTATGGGAGTGGGTGTGTACAAGGAAGCGGAGAGAAACAACATCAAAGAGACCAGTCCAGGTCTCCTGGAGGACATTTAATGCAACGACAAGCAAAAAGCACTATCAGGTGTTTGTCCAAACATTGATGCCACATCAGCAATGAGACTGGTTTGTTGGTTGTTGTTTTTTCCCCTAGGGGGATCTCAGTGGGGTCCCCTGAGGTCCTAAGAGACCCTGGGTCTCTCTGCTTTTGTCTTTGTGCTGACTGCGGAAAGCCACCACCAGCAGCCATGGTTAGAAGGTTCTCCAAGAGACCCATCTTCCCCTCCTTGGCTAGTGTGGTGCCCCCCTCAGTTCAGGCGACTAAACAGGCCAAGGATGTTGCTGGTTTTCCCAATGGTGCCAGACCAATGCTTTCAGACTAGATCAAGGAACAAGTTCATTGCCAACCACAAAGATGCGTTGGCCCTGATGACCTGAAAAAATTATCAAGCTATTATCATGATGCTAATGATGATAATAATAATAACTATTGAAAGTCACACTGGCTGGCCCTCTCCTTGCCAACAACACAGTAAAGACCACAGGACTCTGGAGGCAGAACATCTGGGTTCAAAACCCAACTCCACCATTTGATGACTATGAGACCTTGACCATACCCTACTAAGCCTCAGTTACCCCATCTGTAAAATGGGAGTGGGAGGCAATAGATCATAACCCTTCATATTTTCCTGTGAGAATCATATCAAAAGAACCTAGAATAGGAAACGACTCATGGGAGGTCCACCATAAAGTGTGTCCATAATTGTTATCACAGTGGTATTTAAACAATTTAATATCTGATGTGGTATAGGCGGAATCCAACCAGTATCCGGGCATCCACACTGATCTTTAGCACTGTTTCCACCTGCCCGGCACTGTGGCGACACTTGACATTCACTAATGCATTATCTCCTTTAATTTTCACCATCAGTTCATGATGTTATTTATGGAAATATATGCAATTGCTTATTTATAATAAGACTGTGTCTATCAGAGCAGAGTTAGAGACATAGATTTTAGATTTATCTATCTCCCTGCCATGGAGTCCATGCTAACTCATAGCAACCCTGTGGGAAAGGGTCGAACTTCCCCTGTGAGTTTCCAAGGCTGTAACTGTTTGTAGGAGTCCATAACCCCATCTTTCTCCCAAGAAGCAGCTGGGGGCTTAGAACTGTTAACCTTATGGATCACAGCCCATGGGTAACCACTATGCCACCAGGGGTCCTTATATATATCTATAGCTATCTATATATCTATGTGTGTTTTATACACACACACTTCTAGCCACAGTAATGATATGAATTTCAGGGGATTGCTTCTGCAGGGGGTTTTAGCTTCATTACATAGGACCTTCCTTTTACGTACTGATTCTGTTTCTGGAAAGCAGTGGCACCAATCCATGGAGGTACACACTGTCCTTGGCATTTGGAGTCGCCGCTGCTCTACACCGTCCAGGGGATAACCTCCCTGGAAGCATCATTGTCCATGGACACTAGGCTCGAGCCAGCTGCCTAATCCCAAGTGAATCACTCAAGACTTCAGCTTGTCAGGTCCCTAGATCTCTCAACCTGCCTCTCTTGGTCACTGAGATCCCCACCTGTCTTGTTCCTTGAGGCAGTTTAGCATCCAAGGTCCCATGCTAGTGGCCCAAAGCAGGTTGCCCACAGCCTCTTGCAAATGTCCCTTGTACTTGGA